GTGTGTGTGTGTGTGTGTGTGTGTGTGTGTGTGTGTGTGTGTGTGTGTGTGGAAAAGTTATATAGCGCGGGGCAGGAGGGTGATGAATAGATCAAATATTCAGACACATACAGTTTGTTGGAAATCTTTCACGCTTCCAAGTTCACGTCGTCTCAACATTCTAGATGAAGGTCCTACGTCTGTTATCACCAACCACCTATCTCTGGTAAGTCTATGTACGTGCACAGTATACGCGGTTGATGAACTGTAACAAACATCACAGAACGCCGTAGCTTATAGCTGACTGTTTACGTACCGGTACTTAATGTCGCGGATTCTTCAGTTTTTATCGGGCTGGACTATGATGTGAACGGTCTTTGGTTCGAATCTCTTTCGGAGCATTTTTGAACGTTATAAAGTTCTTCTTAGAAATATCTTGTGGGTTTTTTTCAATCTCTTTCGGAGCATTTTTGAACGTTATAAAGTTCTTCTTAGAAATATCTTGGTTTTTTTTTGTCAATTTGAAAAAAAAGGGGTAGGGTAGGGAGTGGGGTTTAGGTTTAGTTAGCTCTCTAGCCTTTTAGTTCAGTCATAATAATAATATCAAGTTATTATCAGAGATGGACATTTTATAAGAGGTCTCGCCACTTCTAGGCTGTTCCTTCAGGCCTACGTGAAACCCTCCATAACATAACATATTTATATTGGATTATGCCTGCATGTTACTATTCTCACGTTCGTTCTTCTCGATTTAAGATGATTTGTAAGTGCAGTAAGCTAAAGTAGTGGAGAACCAGTGTCGATGAGCCCTGGCCTACATGCTATAGGCCTATTATAGAGTTCCTTATTTTGATTCAGAGCACTGCCTTACTGACATTCTTATTCACTCAGTTTCTTGTTTGTATTTCTAAAGCAATGTTTTGGCTTGCTGATTTGTACATTCTTACTTCAATGTCAAACTGGCGGTTGCCCCCCTCCCCCCAAAAAACACACACAAAAACAAACAAACAAACAAACCAAAAAAAACCCAGAAAAAAACCACACCAAAAAACAACAAACCAAAAAACAAAACAAACAAACAAACCTTGTTGGGACAAAAAATTATTTACCTGCATATTATGTCGGTAGTTTTTCTTTTTTTTCTGCGAAAGACCATTTGGATTTGCTTGTTGTTTAATTTCCTTCGTGTTTATTTGTTGTTGTTTTTGTTTAAGCCCTCACCGTGTGTTTGTGAACCTTTCGTGATCTAGGCCTAATAGATAAAGATCAATGACGTGGCAAGCGCACAGAACCAGAGACCGTATATACCGTCTTTGTTATACATGTAATTGCAACACCAAATTTAGATACGTAAGCCATCTTTACACAACACCCTGCATTTCTGTCTTCTTCTGTGTAATACTTTCCTCCTTTTTTTTTGG